TCCTGTAGTAACAGGTCCCGTTAAAATCTGTTAAAAGTTTATGCTTTGCCTGCATTTGCAGAACTGGGCAGCTTTTGCCCAGATCCCTGGGTCTTAAATTGTCACAGTATTAAAGTGAGATTCAGCAACAAGTGTAGCGACGTTATCGAATCCACGGAAATAAACCTGAATATTAGAATTATGTCCACTGTCAAGATGACAAACATATCATAAATGTAAGATGCAACAGTGGTAATGATATTTCTGAACTGGGAGCAAATATTAGTCTCCAAGCGTGTAAAGGAAAAATTATCTCAGGGCTACACAGAAGGGTATTTGCTTATGCTAGCTTTCTGTTTCGGTGGTTGATTGTCTTTAGGCAACCTGCCATCTAATAATTCATTGCTTGTCCGTGGGGCATTTTGTTGGAGGAGAGACATATGTTAGTGCAAGAGTGGAGCTGGTATCAATGCTTGATGCTAGTGACATGGAAGAGAGGCTCTCAAAGGGTCTTGCACATCTGTCGGTCTTGCCAGTCACAGAGTGCAGGCTCTTTGTCCTTATATCTGACTGTTGGATCTCAGAGGCAGAGTTAACGTAACATGAAGAATTTCTCAGATTTATTTTTAAGCAGGATGCTACATAGCTTTTGTTGTTACTTTAGTTGCTGCGGGAATGCTGTGTAAGTGATGTGAAATTGGAGTTGAGGTGGTCCAGGAGGAAAAAAAAAAAAATCTACATTCAGAGATGAGCCACACTGTGGCAAGATGTAAGAAGTGCAAAGGCTTCAGGAGCGACTGTAGAGAATGAAAGCTACTGGTCCTTATGGTTTGCTCCCCATTAAAACCATGAGATACTAGCATGCCTTTAAAAAACTGTTTCACTGCCCTTTAAAAAAAATTACTATTCTATGCCACCCAGAGAATGTGTAACTAATGGGAGATTTTATCAACCAGAGGGAATTATGAATGTGATAATAAATCCAAAAAAACATTGCCAATGTAAGCAAAGCCACAGATGTCCCTGCCCATGGCAGGAGGGGTGGGCTGCTTGAAGGCCAGGAAGTGAGGAGGTAGGGGACCCACAGAGAGACAACGTGCCCTCTGTATCTGGCAGAACCAGGGGATGGAACCAGAACCGTGGTGCCCTGGAGATCTCTAATTTAGTTACAAGCAGTGGATTTCTTGGAGTTGACAGAGTTGACTCCTGTAAGAGTGCCTAAGTCACTAAATAAAACATGGCACAGGAGGTGAGGCACCAGGATTTCCACTGCTGAGTCATTCTGTGCCCAGGTGGGAGAACATCTACATTTGCCTCTTTCTTGCTTTTGTCTCCGCTCCCAAAATTACGAGGAGGAAGCAGCCAGTGAGATGGCATAGTCTGTATACCATCGTCCTAAACATAACTCTGGTCTGGACTAGAGCCCACCATTTAGAAAAAAACATCTCTTCCTGATTAAGACATTCCTGTGGTGGATTTACTACCAGCATTCTTGGTACATGGTTCCAGTAATTAATTACCCAGACTACAAAAAATGCCTGCCTTGTTTCTAGACTGGAGCTGGGATGTGGGCACAAGGCCTGTGTCTCCGAGAACTGAGTCAGATAAGAAAGCCATCTGGGCAGTGTTTGGTTTACTTCCTCTCGCCTTCAACCCCAGTTTATACACACCTCTCCTGCAGCACCTTCTGTTTTCAGGATTTGTTAACTTACCTGAATGAACCTCACAGCATCTACGTGCATGATTAACCCCTGATGTTGAAGGTGATGTGAGGTGCCAGGTATAATAAAGCGATTGCCCCTCTGAGATCATGCCACGGCGGGGAACACAGTCCTAAACTCCTGTCTGTCCTGACCTTTGACTTCTAGGCCATCATTCCTTTTATACTTGATACCATCTTAATATTTTTTTATTGTCCTTAACATTTTCCATCGGTGCAGTGTAATGAATGCCTGTGAGCTAGTGCCAGCAAGCTAGCCTGAACCACAGGAGTCTTCAGCCCGTGTGCCACTGCACCCGCATCCCTCACTTTCACTTGGCTTTCTGCAGCAGTAAGATTTTTGAAGGACACACTAAGACTTCTCTGTAGATGCACATCTGATCTGTGTGGGCTGAGGACCTTTGTGCATAATAGGCAGAGGATAAACATTAAGTAATGCATGCAGCAGGAGGACATCAGCGGGCAAGTGCCAGATGTGAACTCAAATGGAAATCATGAGACATAGTCTTGGGGCACCTTAGTTTGGGTAAGGCAGTGTACATCTGAGCGCTCGATGAAGGTTGTCAATCTCTAGAGATGGAGAAAGACAGAGAAATGTGTTAACCCCAACAGCTTTCCTTTAGCAGCTCTGACAGTTCTGAAAGAGTTTCTGGATATTGGAGCAGTTTAGAAAGAAAGCCTAGGAACCTCATTGGAAAATTGACTAGACCGGATTCTGACTCTAAGGGCCAAGAGATAACCTGGGGACAAATTGTAATGGCCTTAGTCTTATCAATTTCAATAGGTCAGACAGTCAGACAAGATATCACTGGAAAAAGGATTTTACCCATAAACTGAAATTCAACAACTTCAAGTCAGATATATAAAAAGAGCAGAAAGCAAAGAAAAATTATCCTCCGATGATCTGTTATAATATTTCTTACTTCCATGTACCTTTGTTTTTAATTTTGTACTTGTAATTCACATGATGAAGTTTTCAGGCAGAAGTGGATGTCATGTGTAAGCTGAGTTCCTTGTTTTTTTCTTTTGCCTGTCACTGGCTGCATGTTCTCTATTGATGTCTTGTTCCTGGTACTTGACACTGACCATCTTGTCTGTGAAAGGAAGCACTCCAGCTGGCTTGCCTGATAAGAAGAAAGGAAAGTTTGCTTGGTTTAGTCACTCCACAGAAAGCCATGGTAATGTCCCACTGCACTCTGTGTCCACACCGCGTGTATCTGTGTGTGTGTGTCCATATATCTCTATACAGACTGACGTATAATATACATTTGGATACTTCTGCATGTGCGTGCCTTGCTTTTTCTATTGCTTGTGCAGTGTCCTCTTCATGCACTCAAGATAATAAGCGGCTCTGCAAATCAATCTCTTGCTAATGTCTTCAAAATCATCTTCCATTTGCAAATAAGCTCAAACATGTCTGAAAGTGCTTTACTTCATCTTCAAAGATGACTTGCGAAATATCAACGTTTTGTTTTGTTTTTTTTTCCTGAAGGGCCTAGTCTGGACTGAAAATTTTAATCATGAATGTTGTTTTTTTTTCTTACAGCTTCCTTGACTGTTTCATGTGCATCAAAATATGAATTCGGTTGATTCCTTAATTCATCTTTCGAAACAGACAAGATTATTAAAACATTTAGTCTTTGTAAAGGAACAGGCACCATTAGAGTACCATATTTCATAGTTAGGTCAAGAGTACTAGAGAGTCCATTATTTCATATGGTCCTAAGAGCACGGCACAAGAACTTTAAATTTCCCTAGACATATGTTGTAGGCATGTGAATTGTTGGGATGGGACGAAGGAAAGATAATTCATTTCAAGGGACGTTTCTACCATAATTCTTTCAAAGAATGAACCCAGGAGCTCTTTGGAAGAACCTTCTGATATTTTTCTAGCCTCTGAAAGAAGACCTGGTCCCCTGGCCTGTTAAACATCTACCCAATTGAAATGCAGAGCCTCCTTTTGCGCAAGGACCCAAAAATAGACGTGTTCTTAGTGTTGAGTAACATATTGCTATGGGTTGTTATAAGCTTCTCCAACAGCTCGTAGTGCATGCTCTCAAGTCTCATCTGAGATATATATCCAACTGCTAATACAGGTCATGTTCTGAAGTTCTACCAGGAATCTGAGAGATCTGTTTAACTCCTCCATCATTCAGTTTTAAGTATAATTTTTTTCATTTGTTTTGAGTATTTGAAAATGGAGGAGGAGGGAAGAGGACACATAGAATGATAGAAGGATTTGGGTTGGAAGGGACCTTAAAGATCATCTAGTTCCAACCCTGCTGCCGTGGGCAGGGACACCTTCCACTAGATCGGGTTGCTCAAAGCCTCTTCCAACCTGGCCTTGAACCTTGATCCTATCCATTGTCCTAACTTATGTTGAATGATTATATATTAAGGAGTTGTTAGAGCTCATATAGGAGCTGGGAGCAACTGGTGGAATGGAAATTGTGGTATTTATTTTTTTAATGATCTGTAGAAGCAAATAAAATATTCAGATTTGATAGCAGATAGAAAATGTGCTTGAATCCGGATGAGATAGGTTCACATCTAAGGCTGCTTTCATCTGATGTTTGCTCTGTGATACTTCTGTAAAAGCCTAGGAGATTATGTCCAGTTCTTAGTTGATGGCTGTCAACATAAAATCTCCACTGTAGTCCATATTTATTACCTCCTTTGTTGGTGATATCTGAATGGGTCGGAGAGCCTGACTTCCCCTCTTATCCCTGTAGGTCCAGTTTATAAGTGTAAGATTGAAACACGTTCATGGTTAGTATGTGACAGATGAGCCATCAGTAGTATTTATGTGGTACCTGCTACGAGGCTAACAGAAGCCATTTGAATACCTGTCAATCTGATACTTTTTATTTGCGCTCTACTCATCACATGAGAAATTGGGGAGGGCAATGAGATGGTTGGGCTGGTGCAAGTAAACGGGTGGTTTTTTTTAAGTGTTCCATTGAATTAAGCAAAAGCTTCTTTGTTGGCTTTGCCAGATTCTCTAATTTTCAATGGTTCTCATTCATAAAATTTCCAGGAACTGACTCTGAAAGAAAGAAAGCAGCTGCTTCTTCCCTTTTTTTTTTAGCATTTGAGTAACCTGTTTATGTTCCTGAAGTCTACCTGCCCAGCCTGACCTCTGCAGGGAGGCACTAGACTTGCTCAGCAAATTGCTTAATCCTCAGGAGCTGCAGCTGAGGATCTTTTCATTGAGCCAGTTCCTTCACTCATGTGGTTCGTTAACAGACGTGCCAGGTTCTAATGGCCAACCTTCTCTTTTTCTTCCCTTTGACTCTTACAGTGAGCATGCCCACCAGTGAGACCGAGTCCGTGAACACAGACAACGTCCCTGGAGCAGATATTGAAGGCGAAAACTGCGGTGCTAGGCTAGCGTGAGTACATATACACAGATATACGTATATAGAGGTTAGGCTGAACTCGGTGGGTTAAAACCAAGGCAAATGTCAGGCTTTTTAAGGGGAAGAAAACCCCACAATGGGTGAAAGGAGAAGATGCAGAAGAACTATTGATCCCGGTTCTTATCTTAATTGCAATGTAAACTCACTCTGGCCATCAGAAAGCCTCTGGGTTTATAAGGATGTAAATAAAGCACAGGGTGCCCAGGATAAACAGATTTGGTTTTGCATAATAGTTAAAAGAAGAACTGATGGATAACAGCGTTCTTATTTTAAAATTCCTCTTTGGTGACAGATAGTCGAATCCAGTATGTGTAGACGAAGGAGTGGAAATGACTGGTCTATTTTAATTTCTCTAATGATTCTTGTACACTTGACAGTGTCTTGTGATAGAAATACACGGATGATAACACCCATCCTACAGCTGAACACAATACTGTAGTGACAAAGAAATGCATCAGTTAGGAGGGAGGAACGTCTCCTTGAAATTGCACCATTGTATTTGACGGAAATGCTCAAGAATGTGTGAGATAGCACCATATTATATAGTATAATTTTTAGCGTCACAGAGCAAGAGTAGGCAAAAGGGGTCCTTTCTTCTCTTTTGCATGACCTGAACAAGAATGGACTTTATGCTGGGGGGAATATGTTAGTCCCTTCAAATTTCCTTGAAACACAGGCTAAGCTTATCAGTTTTATAGCTTGTACTATGCTGGAGTATTTTGAGGCTGTCCTTGGGCACACCTTGAGCTGCTCAGTGTTGGTCAAATGCTGATCCATTAAGTGCCTAAGAAATGCTCTGTTTTGTCAGACCTGTGGTCCAGCTGGCCTAGTGTTCAAGCCCTGACAGTGATAGGAGGGCAAGTGCGCAAGCCTGGCCATTTCCTGCTTTCCAGTCCTTGAATTTGTGCTTATTGGATTAGAGATGTCAGAGGCCACACTTCTGCTTTTTGCCTTTAGTGCCCGTTCATGGACGCATCGTCCATGGATTTCTCTGAACCCGCTGAGACTGTCTGTCCTCACAATCTCCTGTGGCAACAAGTTTCAGAAGTTCACTACCTGCTGTGTAAACAAGTACTTTCTTGTATCTGTTTTAAGCTGATCTACTACTGCTTTCAGTCAATGTCCTCTCCTTCTAATACTGTGAGATTTGGTGATCAACACTTCCACGTTCAGCTTATCTATCACCTTCATGACTTTGTAAACCTTGATTGTATCTCCCACATACACCCTTGGCCGTCTCTTCCTACAAACTGAAGAGGAGGAGATCTTATCTGCAATACAAGATGTGATATGTGGAATACGTTGTAAATTCAATCTGCTTTTCTGTCAGTGTCAGCCAGTGACTTACAAACCCCAGGAGACATTGTGATAGCTTTCCTTCACCTGGCTGCTGGTACCTACCTGAGTCCGAGTCTGGCATTTTAGTTTAGATTATGAACTCTTTTGTGAAGGAACCAGGCTAGATCTGTTCACGGCGCTGAGGCAGTTGTAGCCCTTCCTTTAGCACCCCACCAAATTGCTTGTGTTCTTGTCACATTACAGGAAGCAGCAGCTGGATATGTGACCGCTTCTTCCAGCTGGATCCAATTTGGAGACCCATCTCTGTTCTGCAGTTATGATTCCCAACACAGTGGGTGCCTTGGTGCTACCCAGTGCCAACAACAATGGCAATTTTACTATAAAGCTGCATATATTTTTCATATTACAGCTTGAATTCATGAAGCGTCCTTAATCCCAAAGGATCCTAAAGCACTTTATGAACTGTAAATGCAGGGATTGTTTTTGCAGCATTAGAGTTCAGCCACCTTCAGGGTAAAATGTGGCAGGTGTTTAAAAGCAAAGGGCACAAGTGTATAAGGAGACGTATGACAGATAGCTTGTTTTGCACTGGAACTGCATGGGGAATTTTGGCAAGCAGAACATAATTATCTCAGCTGGAATGTGGCCAGGAGAGCTGAAGTTAAACCCAACTCTAAACGTAACGCCGTGACTTAGAATGGAGTTTACTTAAAATAGCCCACTGTGTCCACAGGAGAATGGCACTACTGTGGTCTGGCACTGGGATCACGGTATTCCTGGCATTAGGAGAAGAGAAGGCTACCTCCAACACATTTTAGGGAAGAAGACATAGGAAAATGACAGGAAGATATATCTTCATGTCTTCTTCCCATGCTGTGGATGTTAAAACAGGGCCCTAAGTCTCACCAGAGCAGGACACTTAAGATTCAGGGAGATAAACAGTTTCCTTTCCACTTCATTTGAAAATGAGTGATGTATAGTAGGGGAATTGAAGTCTGTTATTGAGATGGGCTTTTTTTTTCACCCCTTACCCAAGGACAGTTAAGATCCTTGAGGCCTCACTCAGACTGCTTTTCATCTCTAAGAGATGAATAGGCTTCTTACAGCCATTCATTTTCCTGGTTGATCATTGTATTTTAAATTCTGGAGTGAGACACACATTCTGCCAACGCTTCCTGCTTTTGTAAAATGTTTGCTTCAAACTCCTAGAGCTGCAAATTCCTCATTTAAGGGCAAATTCAGATCTACCTTTGATTCTGAGGCTTGGGCTCCTTTCTCATTTGTTTTGTAACCGTATCACACAGCCAGAGAGAAAAGCTGACTTCCCTGGTTTCAAGAAGTGTTATGTCCTCCTCTCACTGAGCCTTCATTTAAACCCCCCATAGGCCAATATGCCTGCTAGAACATAGAAAATGTAAGCAAGGGTTTATTTGAATGAGTATTTTCCTTTATTGGAACCTGACTAAAAGCATCAGAATTTGGCCCAGTGTTCAAGAACAGAGATAATTCATGTGAGAAGTCAGCTGAGCTTTTCCTCATCTAGCTCTAGTGGCTTTCAGTACGCACTAATAATTATAGCCATGCCATCCTGCTTTACTCTAGTTGAAGATAAGGCCTGGTCTTTTGAGCAGTCATCTGCCCTCTGGATTTTTTTTTTTTTTACGACTGAAATGGCTAGAGAAGTTTTTTGTTCGATTGGTGAGTTTCTTCTGTTGCAGACGAGTCTTCGTTTTAACCAGCCTGCTAAAATCACCTACTGGCCATGAGTCTCCGTTGCCTTGCTCTAAACATTTTTTCCCAGAGGGCAGAGACTGCACTGGGCAAGCTGCAACCAGACATGACTGAAGCAACAGGGAGATCTCAAATCAAAGGTAATAGATTTATTTATTTAGTGGCATCAGGCTGCTAGAGCATTTAACCACCCCAGCGCCACCACCGTGGTTACAGGCTGACTTTGCCGTCGGAGTGCGCTCATGTTAAAAGGAAAAAAGTTCCCAGGAGACTGAAAGAAGAAGCATTTTTATTGAAGATAACTTAGAATTACTGGCTGTTCTTTCTGTTCTTATAAAAAGCTGTAGAGCTTTGAAAGGCTGGGTCTGTGAATGACAGAAAGATCTGCTTGAGAAGCCAGGCTCAAGTGTGTCTTTTGGAAAAGGAGATCTTCCTTGACAGCCTTTCTCAGCTCCACAGAGGCATATGCTATGTGAGATCAGGAGAGTACCTCTCAGACACAATCTCCTACTGATGAATTGTCTCAAAGAAGCTTTTGTTTCTATAGTATCCATACTATAGAAACTGCCTTCATCAGCTGTGCTGTCTGGAGCAATGCCAGTCTTCAAACCAGCAGAAGGAGTTTCAGGAGGAACCTAACATCTAATCTCTGTTGCTTATTGTGTCAATCCAGTTTCTTAGAACTAAAACAAAAAAAAATCTTCATTCATATTCATGCCCGGTGTGATTCTGTTGCCA